CAAGGAGCCGCGTCGGAGCAGCTGCACCACGTATGGGATCAGGCTCTGCCGCGGGATGCTGACTCCCAGGACCGCAGAGCGTCACTCGGAGGTGCCAAATGGGACTCTGGTGCAGAGGGAGCGTCTCGCAGAGTTGGGGCTGGAGATGGAGCAAACGGCCAAGGCGTAACGGAGAGGCCAAAGCGCGAAGCTGCTCCGCCGGCAGCTGCTGCTCTGGGCGTGCGAGAAGCCCTCACTGGTAATTAATAATGTGAGAAGATATAAAACCACGTATTTAGCTTCTGCGGTAATTTTGCACACACAAATACACACACATGCTGTATCGCCACCACCTTGCTGCTTCCAGATTGAAATAAAATACAGGTGTAGCCAAAACTGCTGTTTTCTCTGCGCACCAAGGATCTTCCTCCCCCCAACCCCAGGGCTTTTGTCCAGCACAAAATTCAGGGTAAGTTCTCCTGTAATCCATCAAATCAGGGTTTCTCCGAAAAGCAGATGGGTGCTGGAGCTCCAGCCCAAGCAGGACCCTGGGGAGACCCTGGGGAAGGGGAGAGCGCACGGGGCCGTGCTGGGGAAGCAGCAGCCCCAGGTCTGGGGGTGCCACTGGCAGAGCTGCTGCGGGGAAGGGGAGGACGAGCCAAAGGCTGCTCTGCTGAGCCGAGCGGGGATGCCAGGGTGCCCCGTGCCAGGTCCTGGCTCTGCTCACGCTGGCGTCTGCCTCCTGGGGGGCTGTGACGGACCCCACAGCCCCCTCACGCTTTGCCGGGCCGGTGGGATGCTGCACCGCAGTCCAGCCCCAGTAAGCCGAGGGTTTGTGCTCCGTCAGTGTCTGGGCATCCTCCTCCCGAGCTGGCTGATGACAATTATTTCCAGAGGAATTTTGAACCCCGTCCAGGACTGAAATAGCGCGGGAGTGTGCTCGGCGGCCCAGGCCACCGCAGGGGTTATTTATAGCCCTCGGCCACCCGGCCCGCAGCTGCTGCACGGGCTGGGCTGTGGCTGGGCACACGCCTGCCAACCTGTGTTTTGGGGAGCCGAAACCCCCCCAACACGGGGGACATCAGTGCCCGGAGGAAGGTGACAGGAGCAGACATCCCCTCCCAAGTGTAGGGCTTGTACTGGGGCAAGACCATCTCGATGGAGGTAAGGAAGAGATTTATAGGGGAAAATAAAAAGGGCCAAGGGTGAGAAAACACGAGGCCACACCAGAGCCAGAAGTGGATTCGATTGTCACTTTAATCCAGACTGCTGCATGCACTGTAAACAGGATCATCAGGCGGGTTTGTTACTGGTGTTTATTTGTCTTTAATATAAAAGTTACAGGGCTGAAATGTTCGCAGGAGATGCCACCATCAGGACTGAGTTAGTGGTAACTATATAATACAAGTGAACAGCTGGCGGTGGGGGAGAGGCCTGGGAGCGGGGCAGGGGGCTGGCGACTGGGGGCATCGCTTCTCCCCGCTCCCTGCCCCGCGCAGAGAGGGGATTGAGACCCCGCACTCCCCCCAAAATGAGAGGTGACAGCCTCGAGGACGCTGCCTGCAAGACAAGCACACCCGCTCACAGCCAGGCTCGCAAAGGGCTGCTCCTCTGGGCTTCTGCTCCCCAGGGGTGATGCTCCTGGAGAGGGGGGGTCTCCAGTCAGCAAACCTGAAGCTGCTCTGGGCGAGGAGACCTTTCGTTAGGGTCCCTCCAGCCCCGTGAGCCTGGCCCGAGGTCGGGACATGAGCCAGGAGCCATGGTTGGGACACCCCGCTCGGCTGGGGATGACGGCAAAGGGGAGAAGCGGGGAGGAAAGCCGGGGGGCTCACCCCCACCGCGCTGGACAAGGTGCTGCGGCCATGCAGACCTCCCGTCCCCAAGCCGCGAGGCTGAGCCTCTGGCTTTTGGGGGGGCTGGCGGAGGGCTGGGAGTGAGACCCCCCTTTGGTGCGAAGAGGGCCGGTGGTTTCAAGCGCAGGGAAGAACCTGGGAACAGCTCCCGCTCTCCAGCGAGAGGAGGTGAGCGTCCCGGCAGGGCTTAAGACAAGGTGCCCTCTCCTGTCCCTCCGTGGCATCCAGCCCAAGCCGTGACCACTGCACCCCTACGGCCCCCCCACCGGGAAAGTGGGGCGATGGGCTGCGGTTTTAGTGCTACCACCACACGCGACACTCCTAGAAACAGCCTAATCCACAGCACGCCGTCTGAGAGAGCTGCTCGGAGCCGGCTGGGGGGAACCTGCGCCACACACGGGGTGTATTTGCCTTTTCGGAGTCTTGCCATGTCGGGGTTTGTTTTTTTAAATCTTATTTACAAAGGAAAACACAAGCATTACCTCCTGTGTGGAAGGCTGGCGAGCCTTTGGGGATTGCAAAGCCTCGGCCCGACACGACACATGGCTCCAATGCCCTTAGTGCCATAAAAAGAAACCAGGTTTGAAGTGTTCTGGCTCGGACACCACATTTCAGCACAGAAAGATCCCCGCTCCCTCTGCTCTGGGGTTGCACAGCACAAACCCCTGTTGGACCTCAGGCTCTCCTCCCCCAGAAGATACCCTCGGGGGGCAGGGGGGGGTCTCTCAGCACTTCAGCATTTGGCCACCGTGCGAGTCCTGTGCCTAAATCTTCGGAAAAACAATCATGCTGGGTACAATCCTATGAATGGGGCAAGGCTCCAGTTGCTCCTTTCTGCCACCCCTCCGGCAGAGCTGGCTAAGACTTCGCAATCTGTTTGTAGAAGGAAGTGCTTGCAACTCTGATTCACCCAGAATAAACAGAGGCTTTAGCAAACAGAGCTGCTATTGAGAAATAAGTTAAGGATGCTCTGCAAAACACCCCGTCTGTATTCCTTGTAAGCCGCTGCCCTAAAACCGCAGGATTTTGTCAGAACTCTAAAAACCTGCGACCACGCGACACGGTGCTGAGAAAGGCCTCGCAAGGCTGCTAAAACCTACAGCGTACGCTCAAAACCATGATCCACACTGTAAACCATCGGATGGGGAGGGATGTGAAATGGCCCGGCTGGGGCTGCACTGGGGAGGATGCCCTGGGTGGGACACAGAGAGGGGACAGAGGGGCTGAATAAGGCACACCAAACAGACTGGGGTTAACGCTGCGTGTGTGGGAAATGAGACCCCCCCTCGCTCTTCCATGCCGGGCTGCCCCTGCCCTGCTGGCTCCGGCACGGCGGGACTGGGGACAGGGACTTGCTGGGGCTCCTGCCAAAGCGCGGATCACAAAGCACAGCACCATGGGTCAGCCAGACGGGGACCCCCGGAAAAAACATTTGGCAACAGTGAGAGGAGAGAGGAGCGGGGTGGAGGGGACGCGGCGGCTCGGCCGGGCACAGGACTCCTTCCCGGTTCCCATTTCCAACCCCAGAAATGGACTCGCTGGCTCCTTTGCCCAGCTCCTGCGCCTGCTCCGCAGCACTCCGCAGCCAGCGCCCATGCAGCCGCCCCGAGCCTCCTTTCTTCCAGCACTTGGAACAACATTGTCACTGGTTGTGAATTTTATACATACTGTTTTGCACTTTTCTTTTTTTCCTATAAACCCATCAGTATTCAGACATGCATCAAAAAAACCCCCAATGGATTCTAAATACTAATATTTACAGTCTCATATACTACAGCATTTCCTGTGCAAAAGCTAGTACCATCACTAAAAGATACGGGTTCACAGGACAAGTGAACCGCAGTACCTCGGGTAGTCAATGTTTCCATGGTTTGGAGGGATTACCGTTGCTTAAATAACGAGATCTGAGAGGAGGAGGGGGATACGATGACCGGAGATGGCGGGTCCCTGCCCACATTTTCAGTGCCTCTTCCGTATCTACGACCGGTGCCTTCCTCCTGTGAAGGCAGCGCCGGAGATCTGGGGTAAACCAAAGATCCCTGTAAACACAAGCAGCTCTCTGAAAGCAGAGCTCCTCTGGCAGGCAGCGGGAGACTCTTCCATCCTCATCTCCTAGGGGTGAACACCTTTCGAGGTGGCATTGCAGAGGAGACTCAAACCCTTGGCTTCCATGGCTGCTGCCTGCTGGACGCCACACCGGGGGCAAGGTTGTGG